AGAGGAACCACACTTCCCTGGAAGAAGGGGTGCTCCACCCTTGCAGTGAGTGCACCTTTCAATCATCACCTGGGACGGGCAGCTTTCCCTGTTGGTGCTGCTACATTTAAAAGGGAAAGATGAGGTCCCCGTGTCCCTGGCTGAGGATGAAAGTCTAGCCGTCTGTGTTCCACACCTCCGTGTGTCATGAGGTGTGCGGGGAAGACCCTTCCTTGGGGCCTGAGAATCAGGGCTCCAGTTCCCTCATCCTTTCGGCGACATCGGCTCACCCTTCCCTGGGACACCTGTCAGGTGATGAGTGCCACTTGGCTGCATTGCAAGGGGTTTATTATTATTATTTCTACGTTATCTGTTATATCAAAAGATTTTCTGCAGGAGTTCTGTTAACATGGGGATTGGGAAATGAAACATTTTTAAAGTAACACTTGTTTGAGTGATATTTTCTGCTTAGCCTTAAAATTTAAAAAAAATTTTGACCAATCTTTCTATATCACTTCCCAAAAATAGTGCATCCTGAACACACTAGCAAAGAAGCCTTACTCTCAAACACACTTGCCCACGAATGAGTCTTCCTCTCGTTGGCTCAGAATCCTACCCCTGTATCCCGTGCTTAGCCATTTTTAAGCCAAGTGATGTGAAAGATAAGTGTGGGTAAAGTGAACCTGACAGTATCATATCTTATTAAACTATCAATTAAACGTGTAGTGAAGGCCAAAAAATATTAGAAATTTCCTGTGCAAGAGATCCACCTTTCTAAAGGCTAAAACCACTTCAAACCCTGTGAGCTTCTCAGAAACCCTCCGAGAGGTGGAAGAGGATAAAACAGCTCCCCAGTCACCTGTGTCACAGGTGATGTAACTGGTCACTGACATCGAAGGGGTGCAGTGTGAGTTGCTTCCCCAAGAGTAGACAGCATAAAGCGCCAGGGGATTCCTGAGGTAAAGGTGTCCGTCCACAGAACAAGGCTGGAGATGAGCAGTTTTCAGGTGAGACTGTCGTGTCCTCTGGTGGAATCTCCCAGGGTGACCCATAAGTGTGGCGGAAGGCAGCCGAGGCCTGCCATGCGGCCCTGCAGCCGTGTCTGTGTTTATGTTACACACACGCTCTGCATGTCCGGCCCTCCTCTGGACACGGAGGAGACCGCAGCACCAGAGCGGTGCAGGCCTCACCGGCAGGGAGCTCCAGGTGCTGAGTTAATCCGAGTGAGGCTGCAGCCTAGAATGAAAGCCAGAAAAGAGCAGCCGGGAGCTAGCAGGGCAGGACCTGTCTCTGAGGAAGTGACGTGGGCCCTGGTCCACAGGAAGAGGAGGCCTGAGCTACGCTTCATGGGAAAGGCAGGGTGGGGGACAGGGGCAGGAGAGAAGGTTGTTTCTGTCGCTGGCCCTGTGTGCCCTGAACCCTTCACAGGAAGAAGGGCACCCGGGACTCTTAGGTGAAGAGAAGCTCAGGTGCAGAAGTGGGCTCATTCACCTTCAGGCTACGCAGAGGTGGAGGGCGCTGGGTCTGGACCCAGATGTTACTGCAGAGCCCGCAGCTTGGCCCACATGCCAGGCACCACCTCCTAGCTCAAGCAGGCACTCAGAGGGGCGGCTGACATGCAAGGCTGTGTCAGCCAGAGAGTCACCATGAAGAGGGGAGGCAGGCCTGGCCAGGTGTCTCCATCAGTCTCTTCTTACACCATGGCTCTGTAAGGTGGAGTTTGGAAAGCTCACCGGAAAGGAACACTGCAGGAGAAGTGGAGGGACCTGCCGAGTGACATCGGAAGAGCAGAGCCTGGTCAGAGCAGGCTAAGTGCAGAGCACGGCCGAGCCCAGCCTGGCCTAGTAGGCCTTGCAGTCACAGCACACACGCGCCCTGATTTCCTCGAGGTCCCTGTTCACCTGATGTTTAGTCTGGCCTCCTTCGCTAACCACGTCATTTCAACCGAGTCAATGGACCCTGAGCTCCTCGTAGTAGGGAATCTGCTATCCTTGCATCCTCTTGGCCTCAGCTTGTACCTTTCCTACAGTGGCAACTCAGCACTGAATGAATCTTGTGGCATTTCCAGAGCCATGTCCCATGCCTTTTTCTCTCTAAAATACTGCTTTTCTCAAATTTCTATGTCAGCTATGTGAGCAGATGCTTTACTAATACACATAAATAGATTCCAAGCTGTCGTAGTACATTTTTAAAGAGCCAACACTAGCTGGAAATACATAAGAAATCTCTTACACTGTTTAAAAATAGGAAGACATGAGAAATGAGAACAGGGTGATAGTCACGTGTGCCTACCTTGGGTTTGCTCTCCCGAGTGACATATCGGCTGTGGGAAGCAAACTTGACAGAGCCTTTCTGCTGTTACCCCTGAGCTGTGAATGGTTCTCGTCTTGCCATCAAGGGTGTAGGAATCTGTCGCGTTAGGTTTGTGCAGCACAATTTGGGGCCGGCACAGTGCATTTTCTAGCTTGTTGACTTGTTCATTTCCTGCAGACTCGGTGTCAGGCTTCTTCATGCCCATTATCCTCCTTACTCGCTCAGTCCGACGTGGAGAAGCTATCACGATTGGCAAACCAAGGAAAAGTCAAGCATTTGCAAAACTCAAACTGAGGTTCTCTTTTACCTCAGATGATGGGGTGGAAACATGCATGTGAATGTTGAACCTTGTCACCCTTTCAAGATATCTAAACTTTCTGTATTTGCTTAATGATCTGAAGACTGATATTTATTATTCCACAAAGGTAGCTCTGTTTTTCATTATGACCAGCATCCGGAAAGGCCTGGGCACTGATTCCTGTGTCCTGTAATCCAATATATTGATTAATTGAAAGTTAGCCACATATTAACTTCCATGTTCTATAAAATGCAATTCGATTTCACACTGAAATCTTCCTGACCATGTTTTATTGCTTCATGATTCAGAAAGCACTCTACAGACTTACTAAATTTCAGAGCTATTATTTGAACGTTATTCTAAGTGGTATTGATCAATGCGATTGTGCCAGTTTATGGGACTTTCAGTGGAAAGCATGCTATCACCACCTATCTATATACAAGGGAAAACTGCCCATGAAGTTGACTTACAGGCAGTTTTTTTTAATCATTGCTAAATGTTCCTCTGAGTTCTTGGTAAGCCTTTGGAATGGCCTCCGGTTGCTTTTCCAAAAGAACTTCAAAGTAGACCTTGTCTGACTGAACAGCACAGTACCAGTGGAGTCGAGAGGGCAGCCCGTCAGTAATCAAGTGCAGAGCTTAGTGGCCCAGTGTGCACCCTCAGTGGTTAGTGAGACACAAGAGCTAACCGACAGGAAGTACTACAAACCCCTTGGTGTTTGCTGTGATAGCTCCTCCAGCAGCCACGATTGCCACTTTCTATTGTCCCCACCATTAACATTCCTCCTGCAAAGCTGGGAATTTTCAGTGCAATGGAGGGAACGCCTGGCTGAAAAGTGGAGCACTGCTGATGACAGGGTCCACAAGTACAATGCACACCCCAGGACACCTTGCCCCAGCCAAAGTTTAGAAGACAAATTCAGTTCTCTACGGACACAGCCAAGAAAGGAGCGAATTTGTCTGCTGAGTCTGTCCTACCAGGGAAATGCACCAGGATTTTGCTGTTTGTTCTTGTATGAAGATATCAACGCAGGTTGTCATGAGCTCGCCCACCTCTCATTACAGCTCCTGGGCCAGCAAGATTTTCGTCAGCATCCTTCTGAGCTGGTAACCACATTAGGCTGGTGCTGTGTGCACTGTTGAGTAGTATAGTTTGAAGATCCAGTGTGGGATAAAAGCATAAGGTGTCTGCAGGTTCTGGCTGAGTCCATGATCAGCATCACAGGCTCTCGTAGCTATGCATGACCCTGGCATCAGCTGCCACCTCCCCCTCTCAGATCTGCTTGTTGCTCTGTTGATATCACACGGCCGTGACTAACACATGGCACATGAAGAATACTTTCAGGAGTTTAGAGCCCGGCAGTGCACGTTCTGCAACGAAAATTGTTTTTTCATTTTTTTCCCAATTAGGAGCAGATCACATGCCAGGAGGGGAAAAAAACCTCTCCCCTTTTGCTCTCTGTTCCTCTCACTAGAGCTCATTTCAGACCCATGTTATTTCTCTTAAGAGATAAAAGTGAAAGAAAAACCTCCATGGAAAACTAGAAGTGGTTTACCTCACAGTGGCATCCCGTGGAGGTATTGAGAAGCAGTGTGGATTTGATTCCATAGCAAACCTGAGAGTTTTTGTGCACACTGGAAATTATTAGGTATGATTTTGTCAAGCTGCTTAAAATCAGATACTTTAGAAATTATTCTGCACAAGTCTTAATCACAGAGGGTATCACTGTTTGTGGAGCTTTGCCCTTAAATTGTAGAAATTATACAGTGAAATTATTCATATTTTCATCATTCTGAAGACCATTAGGTTAATTGCTTATCAGAATACTGAATGTAAATAGTTTTTTACACAGTTTCTGTTTAGAGAGAAAGGCTAAGGCTAGATTAACCAGGATTTTGTGAGCCCTAGAACATTTTTGTAACATACCCTGGGAAAGTACATAGGAGAAATTAAATTTAGTTTGAATTCATATTAAACAGAGTTTTTATCAAGGAAAAGAATACAGAGGACTAGCTTTGTGGATTTCTTTTGATCCAGCAATCTCCAAATACTGTGTGACCATTTATAGTATTTACTGAATAGAGTCCTGTCTGGGAACTTTGTAATTTTTTAAAAAGCTTGGTCTCCTAATATTTATTACTCCAACTTGCGTGGCATCAGTGTTGTGGATAATTGCTTATACTCAAAGTTCTGCATTGACTGCCTTTCTGAACTTGCTAACATTGAAAGAGCATTTTGCTAGCTCACATCCTGACTGGTTACAATTGTTACTAACAAGTAAAGACGGTGGTGACCTTGCATGGGTCTCCTGTGCAGGGACAAGTGGGCTTACTGTGCCAGGTTCCCTTTCTGAAATGCACTGCACTACTGCAAGTCGAAAGTCATTGTTGTTTTCCCTGTCTCTGTTGCCGGAGTCAGCAGGGACCATGGGGAGGGGAAGACCGGCACAGGGGAGGCTGTGGGCCAGGGTCACTGTCCTGAAGCAGGTGCTCGGGGACAGGCTCAGACTCTAACTCTGGAGAGACGTCAGCCAAACCTCCAGGCAAACCTAGGATGGAGACTTAGAATATATATATTTGGGTCATTGGGAGCAAAGCCAGTTTGATGATTGGGGGTGAAAGGTATTCTTCCGAGGAGCCCCTTGAGGACGGGACAAGGTAGGTGATGGTGGGCTCCCAGGTAGAAGCTGCTGTCCTCTGCCCCCGGAAGCTCTTCTCCTCCTCCTCCTCCTCCTCCTCCTCCTCCTCCCCCTTGTTTTCTTCCAGCTGCAGAGACAGTGAGTGTTCTGGCAACCTTCCCGGGGAGGGAGGGAGGGAGTGCACGGCCTCCCCCTGGTCAGCTCCAGGAAGCCAGTGGGTGGGGGGCGGGTGTCGCGTCCTGGGCACACTGCTGGACAGCAGAGCTGGGTCTGGCGCACATGCTTTCTCAGGAGAGACACCGGGAGGCTCGGCCAGCTCCCGCACATTCCTGTGGCTACAGCTCGGACACAGACTCCAGGGAAAGATGGGTAGATTTTCCTGAAAGTGTAATGAGTCAGCAAAGTGTTCTCACTCTGCTTCAGAGAATAGCGCCATATGTCAATATTAATGTTCTTTTAGTGCTGTCTTATGTAAGGTGTTTTCCTAGAGCTGTCACTCGAACGTTTGTGTGGCAGGCACAATTCAAAATCCAGGGTCACCTAACACGAAAGCAGTCACTCCTTACCGGGGAGTATCCAGATGGTAACTTTTCAATGAATGTATATTACAGACAGACGCCGCACCTCATAAAGATCTCTTCTCCTGTAGGATTAGCCATTCAACAGAAGCTTGATACAGCAGTTACTTTGCGCCCAGCACAGAGGGTCAGAGTCAACCAAACTGCAGCAAGGTCACAGGAAGGAGATACAGAAGTGAATGTTTTTGTTTTCATTGACAAGATCTGGAAAATCCTGATCATAAGAGGTAAGAGTGAAGACTCCATCGTTCTGTAATTTAACTCAGAAACAAGGTATCTGCTTGTGTGGTGGTTAAGGCCACACCAGCTGCATGGACAGATAATCACATGACCGTGTTTCAAACACCAGCTTGTCTCTGCACCGTGTGCTTTAGAGAAGAATGCATAGGAAGCTCTTAGGACGCTGTTGACTATAAAGAGGACTCCGTGTAACCGAGGAAACACAGTGAAGATTCCTGAGAAAGCGATATCTGAGCTCAAGCAGGATAAGCAGAGGCAGTGCGGTGGGGGACAGGGGCACAGGAGTGCCGGCCCGTGGGAGCCTGGCGGGGACAGCAGAGTGCAGAGGCGGCTGGGGGGATAACCTGTCCCGCTGAGCAGAGGCAGAGACGGGGGGTGTCCTGAGCATAGCAGAAGGAAGGCATCTGGCTGTAAGGCAGGGGCGTGGGGTACGGGACGGGTGGGATCCTAGCAAGTCCTCAGCTGGAAATCAGCCACCTCTTCTTCCTTCCGGGGGGAGGGAGACCAGGCAGCACAGCCTGGGGCCGCAGAATGGAGATGAGGAGCAACGGCACACCGGCCTGGGGGCACAGAGGGACACATCCTTCGCTGGGGTACTGAAGCTGGAAGAAGGCCAGACTTGGGGTTTGAGAACAGTGGGTCGGGAGCAAGACTGCCAGGGGACTTAGGGTTGTGTGCGTGACCCCGAGGAGTGAATGGTGCTGAGCCACTTCCCCGGCACTTTTTTTTTCCCCTTAAATTCTTTTATTGGTACATTTTAGGTATACAATACGTTTACATTTATCAGTGGGTGTTTGTAGCTGTACATGATCCATCTCGGTTCTTATTTTTCCCCCATTACCTGTGCGCCCTTCACCCCCTCTGCCCTTCCCTATTTACATAATTTCGTTTCCATTTTTTTCCTTTCCTCATAGTTTTTCCTTTCCCTTCTTTCCTTTCCCCTTTCCCTCCTGCCGCCCCTACCCCTTTGGACCTTTTCTTCCTATTTCAAATTATCAGTTATTCATTTTAATCATTTTCATCCTTATTTACACTTTCAGTTTCTCACACTAGAGAAACTATTTGGTATTTACACACGTGTGTCCTATTTATTTCACTGAAGAGGATGGCCTCGATATGCATCCATTTAGCTGTAAATGTCTCTAGTTTCTCTTTCTTTATGGCTGAGTAGTACTCCATTTTATAAAAAAACCACATCTTCTTTATCCAGTCTCCAGTTGGTGGGCACTTGGGCTGCTTCCAAGCTTTCGCCATTACAAACTGTGCCTCTATGAACATGGGTCCGCGTATATCGCTGTGGTATGATTCTTTTAATTCTTTTAGGAAGATACCCAGCCCGGCCTTTTTAAAATTTAATTTAATTTTAATTTTAAAATTTTGAGACAGGGTCTCAATGAGTTGCCTAAGCCGAACTTAAAGTGCAGTCGTTCTGCCTCAGCCTCCCACCGCACTGGGATTATACTCTTGGGCCACAACGCCCAGCTGCAAAAACGTTTTAATACCCTGAGCATGGAGAGGCTTTAAGAAGGTCTAGAGGAGATGGCCGAGGGGGCTGGATCAAAGCCTGGGCTGGGGATGAGTGGAGAAGACGCGACTGGAGCCTGAGCTGGGCTGAGGAGCCCAGGAGAGAGCTCGGCATCGTGGAGTCAGGCGAGAGAAGTTTGTGTCCAGCGCTGAGAGACCCAGGAGGACGTGCGTCAGGAGCCGGCGTGGCTGAGCCCTGAGGGGGTGGCAGAGGACTGAGGGTAGCACAGGGGCCCTGGTCTCTGCACCACCGCAGCAGCACTCAGCCCGCCCCAGTGCTGGGGTGCAAGGGGAGCAGGACCAGGTCCTCCCAGACCCCGGTGTGGCCCAGGGTCACAACGAAGAGAGGAGAAGCACGCACGGGGCGGGGCTGTATTAGCAAGGCCGGAAAACACCCACGGCCTTTATGCAGAAGCTGTGCAGGAAGAAGACCGACAGGCAGATGGGGAGAAATTGGGCCACCTCCCCACAGTGACCCCGTGGGGGCTCCCTGTCCGGAGGTGGGGAGGACGAGAGAATGGCAAAGGGCGTAGAGGCCAGAGCAGCACCGCCTGTGACCCCCTGGGGGTGCTAAAGGCTTTCAGCACGGACACCAGGGTGCTCTATCCCCGTTGTTTGGTAGTTCTGAGAGTCAAGGCAAACCCATGGTGAATTTACAGAAATGCGGCCGTCTGCGGCCATCACCCCGTCATCCTGGGTGAGGGACAGCTGGGAGGCGACAGCAGCAGTCACTGGCAGGGGTGGGTGGCAGCTCTTCCTAACACGGGAACTTCGGTGTCTATCCCTGGGGTTGTTTCCTTTGTACATTCCTGTGATAGAATTTAATTTATAAATTAGGTGATCAACAATAATGACTTAAAATACACCAATTAGAGCAATACTGTAATTCCAGTCACATGAATGTGATCTCTCTCTCTTTTCTCAAAGTGTAGTATTTGAGAGCACTGTTCACTACGCCTGGCGTCACGCATGTCCTGCAGTGGCCTCGTGGCTCCTGAGCCAGTCTGTCCTGTGTCCTATGTCCAGGCGTCCTCTTTGCACTTGTAGGAATGTAGGTTCTACTGGGCGTCTTCCTCCTGAAGACCCCAGTGTGGTTGCATTTGGAGGCCAGCCTTTAGTGGTTTCCTTTCTCCTTGGTCAACTTCCTCTACTCTGCTGGAAGTGAGGCAGCAGCAACAGCATCTGTGGTAATACTTACATGTGCTGTCCATGCCCATCCCCAAGCCTGGGGAACCTCCTGTAACTTGCAGTGGATGGTGTGGTGTCCTTCATTTCAGAGGGCGCCAGGCTCAATGCACTCAGCCTAACACATGGCGACCAGTCAGAACATGTTCTCTGTTCATGTCTTCTACTCACAAATGTACTGCCTTTGCTGTGTCGACTAGGGACTTATGCACTGTGGCCGTAACTTTTGCAGTCTGAGGTAGGACAGCAAAAACCGGCATGGACTTATTTTTGCTTGTTTCACAGGTAGAAGATCGATTCTGCCTATAGATATTGACCACCTCAATACATGGGTGTTTTTTTTCTTTTGAAAGTGAAAACTTTCTCTTTTCATTTGTAGGAAGCACTTTATAGCTTCTCTTTGTCATATCCAAATTACAACATCATTACACTTACTCTCTGGTAAAATAAGGGTTACTTGGAGACAAGCATTGATCCTGCAACTGTAGATCTGACAGCAGAGTAATGAGTAGGTGGTGTAGACGCCACGGGTGTGCTGGACACAAGGATGATTCATGTCCTGAAGGGGACAGAGCCGGCAGCACAAGGGTTTGCCACATTACTCACAATACTGTGCCATTTACAACAGAAGAATATTTTATTTTTGGAATTTCTCCTGTAGTACTTTTGGACCACATTTGACCACAGGTAATTGGAAGTGCAGAAATCACAGATGGCAGGTAAGGGAACCACTGTATTCTCTGCCTATCTGAAAGGAACCGAGGGGAAAGATTTATCTCCTCTGCTAACAGAAAACTAGTCGTCTGGATGTCCAAGAACACTGTTCCCCATTCCCATTTGCTTGTTAGCAGCAGGTACATCTGCTTACAAAATATCCTTTGAAATAGAAACTAAAATAATGCTCTTCCCAGGGAGGAGGCAGGAGTGGGGGATAAATCAGAGCCAGAGCTGGGCTTTGATTTTGGATTGCATGATTGCATGTGGCTTTCTTGGTGGTCACAAACCCACTGTCCCCTGTGACAACGTGACTTATTAAGTATTTTATGGGGTGGTGGAACCAGAGTGCACTACAAAATTGAAAAATGGAACCTGCTGGGTGAAGGGAAGTCTGACGTGGTAGAAGTAGTTTGCTAATGCATTGCATATTTCACAACAATAAGCTTCTTGTGTTTATAAAGGAAAATCTGGACCTCTGAGCCACCCTGCTTATGACGTTACATGTTTTGTGTCTGTGGGTCTGTTTTAAAATATTTTACTTCATCCTTATAAGAAGTTTTAAAAGGCGATAAAATTTAAACCCAGAAAATTAATGAAATAGAAAGAAACTGAGATAGCAGTGAATAGAAGGGAAAATTTAAAATAAAATTTCTATTTGCCAAAAACTGAAGTGGGAGGCACAAGCAAATGCATTGTTCCTGTTCTGATAAGCCTGGAAACTAAGATGTGTCACCTTGGAAACTTCAGAATCAAAAACATAATTTCTCTTTGCTTCCCATTCTTTCTCTTCTCTGCCATGGACTTCCGGTACTACCAAGGACTCCTGAGAGAATCACATGCAGCCGGGGAGGGGGGGGTGGTGTAAATCTGTGCCAGCTTCTTCTCCTAGGAGGTTCTTCTGTACTGAAACAAACCCAGCAGCTCCTTTGTTTAGTCAGTGAATGAGCGCATAATGACCAGGTCAGAAAATGTTCTTCTATACTCAGTAGTCTGAGTCTCCCTGACTTAGCATTTTGCTACTTACCCATTCTATCAGCCAGAATTTTTAGAAGATTAACTAGTAAGTTATTGATTTTTGATAGGTAATCCATATACTTAGTACTAAAGCTATGAAGAGCCTTGTGGTAAAATGTAAGTCCCCTCCCTGCACCAGACACTCAACTGCCAGATCCCTCCTCGAGGACAATCACTGTACCCCTTTCCTGTGTGTCTCTGCTCCTTACAGTAATTGTGCGTGTTTGTGAGTATGTGTATGTGTTTACACAAATGACAGCATGCCACATACCCTATTAGACATTTCCCGGTGTCATTTAGCATAAACAATTGACAGATGGTTCATACCTGTGCCCATGGAATGGCCCTGCTCTTCTCTACCCAGAGTACATGACGAGGCCTGTCATCACCTCCTCCCCAGTGGCCCCCAGTTGATTTTCAATGTCTGCTGCATACAACATGGCTGAAAATGTCTTTTACATTCATCGCTGCACATCACACAAAACTCCAGAATAGATTCTGGGAGAGCAGTGACTGGTGAATGGGTGCCTGCATTTGAGACAACGCC